TGTCTCTGACTGTTTTATCCACCCCCTGAGCCAGCCGAAGAGTTCTCAATTTATCCTGCCCGCACAGAGAGACCAGATTGGCGGCATGTACGCACATCCACAGAAGCCCAATATAGACTTCCAATTATCTTTTAATTTCGCTCCTGTCTTCATTTGTTCATTTCACTTTTTCCAAATGGACTGAAGGGGAAAAAAAAGCTGTAATTTATGGAGTTTGAAGTATGCTGGCAGGAGCACCGTGTTCACCTGCCGGATGGGATTAGACTTCAGGTTAGTGCCTGAAGCTTACTCCCCACCGCCCTTGGGGGAGTCAGCTGCCTCTGAGAGGCCCCAAAGCCCCTATTGTCCCACTTCTGGTTCCGATTCCCTGTGGCAACTATATCCTCTTATTTTCTATATTTTCCACCCTCTGTCATCTGAGGCCCTCTGAGCTGACTTCACTCCCAAGTCTAGCTAGCTCCTAGCGAGAGCAAATGACGCACCCAGGATCACCTTACCACATGCAAATGAGCCACCCAAAGTCCTCCTCCGGCCACCGCCTTCTAGGCTCTCACAGGGCCCTTACAGCCCGGGGCCAACATCCCCTGCCCGAATCACTCTAGGAGAAGGCTGAGCGCCGAAGAACTGGTGCTTTTGAACTGCGGTGTTGGAGAAGACTCTTGAGAGTCCCTTGGGCTGCAAGGAGATCCAACCAGTCCATCCTAAAGGAGATCAGTCCTGAGTGTTCACTGGAAGGACGGATGCTGAAGCTGAAACTCCAATACTTTGGCCACCTCATGCAAATAACTGACTCATTGGAAAAGATCCTAACACTGGGAAAGACTGAAGGGGGGAGGAGAAGGAGATGACAGAGGATGAGATGGTTGGATGGCATCACCGGCTCAATGAACATGAGTTTGAGTAAGCTCTGGGGCTGGTGATGGACAGGGAAGCCTGGAGTGCTGCAGGGTCACAAAGAGTCAGACATGACTGAGTGACTGAACTGAATCACTGCAGGAGTGGGTAGGTGACAAATTAAAATAGCCTCAGGACCCCTGCACTCCTAAGCCTGTTTACCCTGTCTTCCCCAACCCTCCTCATGAAAAACATAATAAAGTCTCTGGTTCCCACTTTCCCCTCCTCACTCGGCCTCCTGGTGACCCTGGTGCTTCCTCATGTGGCCCTGAACGGCACTTGGATGGGGCTCCCCTAGAGATCTATGAACAACAAGCTATCTTTCCAGTAGCAGTCATTTCCCGATCTGCTGACCTCACCATGTTATTGTTCAGTCACTAAGTTGTGTCCGACTCTTTGTGACCCCACGGACTGCAGTGCACCAGGCTTCCCTGTCCTTTACTACCTCCCAGAGTTTGTTCAAACTCATGTCCATTGAGCCAGTGATGTCATCCAACCATCTCATCCTCTTTCGCCCCCTTCTAGTCCTACCGGAATAATAACAAAGCCTACGTTTTATAACAATCTCACGCTAATGTGGTCACTGAGGCCCAAAATGGACGGCACACAGAGGGAAGCCCCCTTTAATGAAGGTCTCCTCTGTGCTCAGATGTTTCACAGGTGTTACTTCCACCCACCAACAAAGGAATTGCCAAGCCGGGATTTACATCAGTGCCACCTTCCCCTCCACCCTCATGCTTCTTTACCTAGGTCCCTGCACCCCAGCATAAGGGCCAGCATTTGGCAAACATCTGGTAAATATCAGCCATATCAATCACTCACTCCAGGCTTCCCAGGTGGCTCAGTGGGTTAAGAATCCGCCTGCAATGCCGGATACCTGTGTTAGATCCCTGTGTTGGGAAGATCCCTCCGAGAATGGCACAGGAACCCATTCTAGCATTCTTGCTTGAAGATTTTCATGGACAGAGGAGCCTGGCAGACTACGGTCCATAGGGCTGCATAGAGTCGAACATGACTGAAGTGACTTAGCACGTACGCACGCAGTCAATCCGTCTATGCCCCCTCTTTCTTTGTATGCACACTCAAGGCTAAACACCTTTCTGGAATTCTCTGCTGACCTCTCTTCTGATGCCCCTTGCTCCAGCCTCCCCGGCCTCCAGTCGTCTGGTTTACTTTGCCATGAACACCTGTCGACAAATCCCCCTGTTAATATTTCCTTTGTTACACACTGTGGCTTGACTGGATCTCAGGCGTGTGCACCAGCTTCCAGATCTGCAGGCAGGTCCTTCCCGGGGCTGCGACTGCGTCTTCTGTCCCCCGCGGCCCTTTCACTTCCCCCGGCCACCCAGGGGCCTGCTCTGGCTACATCTAGCAGCCAGGAGCACAGCCTCAAGTGGAAAGAGCAACTGTCTGACTTAAAGGCTTGGAGGCGGAGCTGTAGGGGTGGCACTCCAGGACGCATGAAGCCCTTCTTGTGTGGGAAGCAGCCCCTCTATGGGGCTGAGACCCTGCGCACTTGGCACCTGAGAGGTCAAGCCCGGTGACAGCACACCAGGGGGGTGTGCAGTCTCCTCTCTCAGGAGGGAGATGCTCAGAGCTGCCTTGACTGTGCGGATGGTAGCTTGGCTTCTGGGGGGACCCCACGCCAGTCTCCAAAGCCCTGATTTCACCACCAGACAAATCATTTTTATTCTCCTTTATAACTCATCCTCTCCGTCCCAGAGGAAGACAAATGGGCATTGCAGTTAGAGACACCTGGCTATAAATCAAGACTCTGCCACTGACAACCTCCGTTGACACTGGCACATAATCTCTCTGAGCCTCCATTTCCCCACCTGTGAAATGAGAGTGATGACAACACCCACCTCTATGGATGCCCGGGAAGACCTCACTCATGCAAAGTACCCAGGACTCATCCCCGCTCCCTGATACTCACCTGGGCAGTATAGAGGGCAACCGCTCACCCCCCACCCAGCAGGCAAGTAAACAAAACCGACTGACTTTTCATTCCTCTACCCACTGGAATCTCCTGAGATGATTTTTAAAAATGAGGATTTCCTGGAAGCCACCCTGAACCCACTGAATCGTAAAATCTGGGGGCAGAGCTTGGCAATCTGCATTTCCAACAATCACGGTGAATCACTATTTTGACAGAGATGGAAAGAGTGGAAACAACACTCTCTCAAAGAGAGGTCACCAGTGGGACAGGCTGAAAACGTCTGACTCCCAGAGCAGTCATACCTGTTGGACAAACTCAGGTCTGTAAAATTCTGGAGTCTGGAAACAAAAGGCAGAAGTCCTCATTTGCAGGCAAGTTGACATGCCCTTAGGGCTGCCATAAAACGGGGATCACAGTTCTCCTCTCCCAAACGGGACAGTGGACAACAGACACGATTCATCCAGAGCGTCCACCCATATCCTCCCTGTGGAAAGGCACAGTCAGCTTGGCTGTTGTCCCGGTGGTGCCTCAGGCCCCAGAGCTGAGCTTCCCTGGAGACGCAGAATCCAGGAAGCAGAGCGGACTGCACTCGGAGCCACAGCCCATGCGACGAAGGCCGAAAGGGGCGAGTGGGAGAACGAGCGAGCAAGGAGAGGAGGAAAGAAAAGATGATGCCGGAAGGCTGGGGGCGCCGGGAAGGAGGCCCAGGAGGCAGCCTTGGACTTGACCCTGAGGGTCAGGCCAGCACACACAGGGGAAGGCGGCCTGCGCCCAGCCCAGATCGCGGCGTGCACGGCGGCCATCGGGAGATGACCGTGGGAGGGAAACAGACGGAGCACGGGGGCGTGGACAGCATCGAAAGGAATCACGATTTCCTCCTCCAGTCAAGGCTTCGGAGCCAAATTCCTCCAAACACGTGCCTGTTCCACAGCGTGGCTCTTATTCTCATCTTTAAGTTAAATGCCAACACTTGGAAGTGGAGAGTGACCGCGTCTCTGGAATAGGGTGACCAGGCAGCGGTGGGGCCACCCCCCTGCACCCACAGGCGGCGTGAGGCTGAGACCCCATCCTGGCCTCCAGGGACCCCAAAAGGCCCTCAGTCAGGAGAGGGGCAGAGTCACACCTGTGCCTCCAAAGGTCCAGCTGATGGCGATTCACAGAAGTGACGATGGCGCCGATGGTGAGAAAGAGGACGGTTGACGCTGACAAAGCCTTTCCACAGGAGCCCTTTACACACACCGACCTGTCTTGTTCTCACCCCCTTATGAGGGGCTATTATCGCTAGTTTTTCAGATGAAGAAACGGAGGCACAGAGAGGTGGACTCACTTGCCTGAGGTCACACAGCTCACTGGCAGAGCCAGGCGCTGCTGAGATGGGAGGCGAGTGAGACTCCTGCAGCCTCTGACTGTCTGAGGCCGTCTGGTTCCACGTGTGAGGCGTGCCCCATGTCTGCCCCTGATCTGGGTGCGGACACCGTGTGTTCCCCCCAACTCCAGCGCCAAGGCCGGTTTTCTCAGGCACCCCGTCGGGCCGGGCAGCAGGGCAGAAACTCAGGAGCCCGGCCCGGGGGCGTGGCCCAGCTCCCGGCTCGGCCTGCCCTGCTGCTGACTGCAGGCCGGCCCCACCGTGCGGGCCCACCAGCCTCAACCGGAGGAGCGCAGACCCAGAGGGCCTCACGCCACTCCTGCCGGGGCTCCACCCGCTCCACCACTCACCACACCCTACCTCCCAGCCCACGGATTTGCAAAAGGGAAAACAGGACACACGCACAGTCCCCCCCCTGAGCGTTTCCTAGCATCGGGTGACTGTTTGACCGGGAGCTTCCTCTCTCTCCCAGTGCCCACGGGACCTGCCCAGCCCCCTCCCGCCGCGGCTGGCGTGGGTGGTGATCACAGGCTCAGCCTCCTCCAGGCAGGTGCCTCCCTCTCCCAGGGAAAAGCACCGAAGGATCCCAGGGAGGCCAGCTGCCGCGCTCTGCCAGCCCCGGGCCTCGGTGGCCAACTCTGCCAGCTCAAAAGTCACCTTTGCTTCAACTCTTCATCGGTCCGGTCAGAGCTCACCCCAAACCCCCTCCCGCTCAGCCCAGCAGGAACCAGGAACCGTCCCCTATTGGGCAATCATTAATCGGATTCTTGGCATTCCTCTGCCCCAGGTCGGCTTGGGAACATGCTCCCCAGAGGAGGAGGAGCAGAGGCCCCGGACTGGCATCTGGACATGCGGCTGACGGGCCAGCTGGTGCTGTCCGCCGCTGCCCTGCTCCTGCTGGCCGCAGCCTACAGGCTGTACAAGTCCAGGCCAGCCCGGGCCCTGCCGCGGCAGGGGGGCGCCGAGGCCGGGGCAGAGGGGGCGGCAGGGGGCTCCGGGCAGCCTGCCGTCCAGGAGGCTGCTCCCCGGGCGCCACAGTGGGACCTGAGACGCCGCAGGGGAAGCAAGGGGGGTGCGGGATTGCCGGGCTGCAGCTGGGAGAACACGGAGGCCTCCAGAGTCCCGGCCACCGGAGCTTCCTCCGCAGCCGCAGAAGCTGGAGAGGCTGGGAAAGCTGGGAGGAAAGGTGCTGGAGCGGAGCACGCTGGGCAGTGCCCGGACGCTGACCTGGCAGCTCCTCGGTGCGGAGGCCAGGAAGCCGGAACAGCTGTGGACGGTAGGCCCGAGCCGCCCCACCACTGCCATCCGTGCGGCGAACCCCCAGTCCCCACCGCTGGCCTCCCCGCCGTGGAGAGCGGCCGTGTGGGCGGTGAGCTCGCTCCCTGGCGGGACAGTGGGCCCCCCAAGCATGCAGGGGGCGGGGAGCAGGAATCCCCCCATGAAGGTCAGGCGGCCTGCCCTCAAGGCCGGTGTGACATGGACAACAGCTGGGTCTTTACCCATGCGTCAGGGGTCCACAGGGAGGAGGCGGGGGCCCTCCAGGCTGCCTCGGACCTGGGCCTGGCCCTGCGTCAGCAGGAGGGCAACTCCGAGGCCCCCCGCAGCTTCTCGTCCGTGGCCCGGGCTCGAGTAGGGGAGAGTCTCATACCGGAGAGGGTGGAGGGGGCCAGGCCCAGGCTGAAGGCCAAGGTGTGTGGCTACTACGTGGAGTCCACCTCTCAGGCCACCTCCAGGAGCAGGCTGGCCCCCGGATCAGCCGCCCCAGTGGGGGCTCCAGCCCCCGAGTCAGAGTCTGACCCCCTGGGAACGCGGACAGCGTCTGAAGGGCCCGCCGACGACGGAGAGGGTGGACCGGAGACCGCCGCCTCTCCCGGGCCTGTCCCCTCCCAGTCCACGCGAGGCTTCAGCCGCAAGGAGAGCCTCCTTCAGATCGTGGAGAACCCGGATCTTCAGCTGCAGCTCGATGGCTTTGGGGACCCTGATTCATCCTGCCCAGACCAGAGTGCCCTGCGCACCCGCCCCACGTCCCAGGATTCTCCTGAGTCCAGCTCAGCCGGAAGCCGCGGGAAACCCCCCGTGCACTCTGTGGCTGGCACCAATTTCTTCCGCCCCCAGCTCGGCCCCGGGTCAGCCCCAGAGGTCCACCTGGATCTGGGCAATTGCTGCGAGGCGCTGACCTTTGCCAAGAGGGAGAACCTGGAGCCCCTGAAGGAGGCAGCCTACCAGGTGATGAGTGACAACTACCTCCAGGTCCTGCGGAGCCCCGACATCTACGGGCGCCTGAGCGGGGCGGAGCGCGAGCTGGTCCTCCAGCGCCGGCTCCGGGGCCGCAAGCACCTGGTGGTGGCCGCCGTGTGCCCCCAGGAAGGCTCCGGCCGCCTCTGCTGCTACGACGATGCGCGGGACGCCTGGCGCCTGCTGGCCCGCCTGCCGCCCGAGGCTGTGTCCCGGGGCTGTTCCATCTGCAGCCTCTTCAATTACCTCTTCCTGGTGTCCGGTTGCCAGGGCTCGGGGCGCCAGCCCTCCAATCGCGTCTTCTGCTACAACCCGCTGACGGACATCTGGAGCGAGGTGTGTCCCCTGAACCAGGCTCGGCCGCACTGCCGGCTGGTCGCCCTGGACGGACAGCTGTACGCCGTCGGGGGCGAGTGTCTGAACACGGTGGAACGCTACGACCCTCGCCTGGACCGCTGGACCTTTGCGCCGCCGCTGCCCAACGACACCTTCGCCCTGGCGCACACGGCGGCGGCGAGCGGGGGCGAGCTCTTCGTCACCGGGGGCTCGCTGCGCTACCTGCTGCTGCGCTTCTCCGCCCGGGAGCAGCGCTGGCGCGCCGGGCCCACCGGGGGCGGGAGGGGCCGCACGGCCGAGATGGTGGCGGTCAGAGGCTTCCTCTATCGCTTCGACCTCAACCGCAGCCTGGGCATCAGCGTCTACCGCTGCAGCGCCAGCGCCCGCCTCTGGTACCAGTGCGCCACGTACCGGACGCCGTACCCTGACGCCTTCCAGTGCGCCGTGGTGGACGAGCTCGTCTACTGCGTGGGGCGCCGGCGCACACTGCGCTTCCTGGCTGACTCCGTCTCGCCCAGGTTTGTGCCCGAAATGCTGCAAGCCTTCCCCTCCCCGCAGGGCACCCTCCTGCCCACCGTCCTCACCTTGCCCGGTCCTGATGTGCCCCAGACCAGGGTCTAGCACCCGGTCTGCTGGGCTCCTTCTGCAAGACTAGACGCAAAAACACCCCCAGCCCATCGCGGCATGGGCCATTCCTGGGAGATCCGCGGGGCAATCCCGCCTCCTCCACCGTCTGGGCTTCTTAGCAGCGTCTTTGCCCTCTTCGGGCAGCAGCCTAGTGTGAAAATGGAACTGAGGACTGATGCTCCGAAGCCCAGGTCGCCCACCTCTGCAGGGTTGATCCGCACCTTGCTTGCGGTCTGAATTTGGTGGGGAGGGGGGTACCAGGACCCCGGCAAATTTCGGGGGCACAGCCTTCTCACAGGCCCTATTCCAGAGGTGTTTTTGACTCCCAGTGATCCCTCACGTTGACCCTGCTGGATCTGGGCCAGCCCTCCCTAAGCCACCAAGGCCTCTTCCTAACCATCGGCCACTGAGCCCCAACCTCCAAGGCTCCCAGAAGCATCTGGGACACACACAGGCGGTGAAAATCAAGGGGGGTGGTTAGGCAGGACTAGGACAAGCCCAGGGGAGCCCCAGGGGGCCCAGCCAGAGGGAGAGATGCCTGGAGGAGCTGCAGAGCTGAAGTTGAAGCCATCCACGGGAAATCTTGCCTGCAGAGTGAATTGACCAAAGCCCGCTTCGCTTTTTCTCATTACATGGAATTCCAGTATACTGGAAGGAGAAGCCTCCACGCTTAGCATCCATTTATAAAGGCCCATCTGCTTGCAGGGTCTACTGAGAATACAATTGATGACAAGGAAAAAAAAATGTGATCCAAAGGCCACCGTCCTGCTGGGCCCGTGGTTATTTGACCCCCGCACTCTCTCCCCAGACCTCGGAGCCCTTCACAGTACAACTGCTCATGCCACCCAGCCCTCGCCTTGGGAGCTGGGGGCAGCCCTTCTGGGGGGTGAGGGGATGACATCCTTCGCCTTCCCTGTGCCTGTGGTCGCCTGGTCTGCCTCATCAGACGGGAGAGGACCAGGGAGGGGCAGGTCCGTGATGGAGCTGAGGAACCAGCAAGTTCTCGTGGTGTACTGGGAGGCTGGGACCTCCTTTCACATCAGGTTTGGCAAAGTCTCAAAGGGAGGAAAGCTTCCAACCTCAGGAAGTTACCTTGTCTTCCCAGAAGGAGGGGAGAGAGACTAGTCCAGTCTCTTACCGCAGCCCTGTTCCATCCCCAAGGAGGTGCGTGTAACGACAGGAAAGCAGGCGTGCTCTTGGTACCTGCCAGAAGCCAGGAGAGCCGGGACGACTTCTAAAGTGACCAGCGGCATCAGGGAAGACAAGAAGGCAGTTGCACCACGGCAGGCCCGACAGGTGGGGAGATGGGAATGCTCAGACTTCGGCATTACTGTCTTGATAATGGAAGGGCAATCCATGTCCTTCTCTGCCAGGGGGATAAAGGTGAGCACCTGGAGAAGGCCCTTCCCAATTCGGGGGGCTCCTGGCAGGAGCTTGTGTCACTGCAGCTGCGGACTGACTGCAGAGGCTGAGCCGGGGATCTTGTTGGAAGAGGCGGGATTGGAGCAAAGAACGAGAGCAGGCTGGTATAGGAATGAAGCCTTTCCTTGGACCACGGAAGCCCACCTTCCCTATTCTAGGGCTTGGGAGGTGAGGCAGCTTAGTTTATTTCTAAGCTGGAAGCTGGGGGAGAAAGATAGCTGAGACTATGGCTGGAGGCTGGGACAGTGACCTCCTCTCCAAATCCCCTCCACCACCAAGGCCATGCTCAAGTTTAGAGTCAGCACGCAGTCATGGACCTCCAAGGGACCCGGGGGGAGGGGAGACGTGATGCCCAGCAGGGGAAAAGGTGGAGAGCCCCATCTGGGAGCCGGGGCAGGTAGAACCAGATCGAGGCCAGGGGCAGGCCTCCGGCAAGGAGTCACGAGAGGACAAGACCTCAGCCGAGCTGGGTGGGGCATGGGGGAAGGCTCCAAGCCGAGATGAGAGCTAGGGCTCGCTCTGGGAAAACCTCCAGAAGCCCGTCGCATACAGACAGCAGGGATCAAGGGGTAAGGCAGCGAAGCTGGTTCTGAACCCATGGCGGTGGATGTGGCCTCCATGATGAAAGGGAGAGCTGAGACTGGGCCGGGGCCGAGACAGAATGGTGCCGTGAGGTCCTCTGCCTCCTGCCCTCCCGCGGCAGATATCACTAACCGGTCGCCGTGTCCTTTCTTCTTGAGCTCTTTCCACCGCCTCAGAACTATTTCAGCACAGGGCCCCAGGAAGTCATTACCAGCAGATCAGGGCTCGTGCGTTCCTGGCCTGGGTCTCCAGAGCTGGATTTAGGGATGAAAGCCGTGAGGGCCATAGTGTCAGGGCAAGGTAGTGCAGGGGGCCTGCAAAGACCTCCTGGGGCTGTGACAGTCAGGGTTCATTTTATTGTTGTTTAGCCACTAAGTCGTGTCTGACCCTTTTGCGACCCCACGGACTATAGCCTGCCAGGCTCCTCTGTCCATGGGATTTCTCCAGGCAAGAATACTGGAGTGGGTTGCCATTTCCTTCTCCAGAGGATCTTCTCCAGCCAGGATCGAACCCATGTCTCCTGCATTGGCGGGTGGATTCTTTACCACTGATCCACCAGGGAAGCCCCAGGGTTCGTTTACAGAATATTTAAACCAGGCGCTGCTCCAGTTGTTGGAGACACAGCACATCCCTGTCCTCGTGGAGCTCACATGCTAGCTGTAGAAAACAGGCAGTTAAAAAAAAACAGGTTCATAAACAACAGATAGCACCCATGCCGCACACGGGCCACAGAGGAAGAGAAGATGGGGAAGTGGGGTGGTGCGATCAGGCTCCCTGACAAGACGAGGCTGTGCAGAGCCCTGAGGGGACGTGCCGGAGACGCAGACCCCAGGGCTGGCTCTGGGCCGGGAGGGCTGGCCTGCCTCCCGAAGCGCTTTGCCACGCCAGCGGGGGGAGCAGGACTGCCTCCCAGGCTCCGTCTTGGTGTGTGGAGGGCAGGAGCCCAGCTCTTCTGCTTCAGCCTTTCCTATAAAGGAGAGAATCCCGTCACACTGACATTCATGGAGAGGGCCCTTAGCTGGAGGTGAGCTACATTCCCGAGAGAAGCAGAGTCTGCACATTTAGGTACTGAAGGCGCTCAGTCGTGTCCGACTCTTTGCCATCCCATGGACTGTAGCCCGCCAGGCTCCTCTGTCCACGGGATTTTCCAGGCAAGAGTACTGGGCTGGGTTGCCATTTCCTTCTCCAGAGGATCTTCCCTACCCAGGGATTGAACCCAGGTCTCCCGAATTGCAGGCAGACGCTTTACCCTCTGAGCCACCGGGGAAAAACACATTTGGGGGAGGGTCAGAGCAACACACAGATGCCCCATCTGAACGCGCGCTGGGTGTCAGCCAGCCCACGCTGCTCCCCCTGGGGAGTCCAGCATCTCCACTGGCCGCCGTAATAGCCTTGTCCGTTGTCCTCTCGCCCGCGGCCTCAGAGTGGCCTGCGTGTCGCTTGGCTTCTCCATGGCTCGTCTGTCCTTCTTTCCAAATGTGAGTTCTTTCTTCTTTCGGGAAAAAAAAAAGAAAACCTTAAGTTTGAGTTGTTTTGCACGTTAGGCCAACCATGCCACTATAGAAAAAAATTGGAGAATAGGGAAAGGTATTAAAAAAATCTCCCCAATTTTCCACCCAAAGACAAACCCCCGCTGTGGTGTGGGTCCTTCCGGTCTGTTTTCCTTTGCGTGATTTTTCTTTGGCTTGATTTTTGCCTCGGTGTGATTATGCTGAATATACAATTCAGTTGCTTCCTTTTTTTTCTTTAACTTAGCTTTATAGAATAAGCATTTCCCCATGTTATTACAAACCCTCAGTAAACATCATTTCAATAGTTGCACAATATTCCATCCAGTGGACCTGCCATGGTTTATTTAAACATTCCCCCTTCCTTCAGGCCTGTAGATTTTTTTTTTCCTGTTGGTTTCTTTTTCTGTCATAAATAAAGCGCCCTTTGTTTTCGCGTTCCTCTCTGAGGCCTCCATCAATATTTACAAGAGAAGCAGCTCTGTCTGGAAGAACCAGGTTGTAGAAACCACAGCAGGTGCCTGCCTGGGGCCTGGGCCTCGCTCTTTCTGTAGGGCACAGAGCTGCCCTTGAAATGGCCAGTGGGAAGGGCGAAGCCAGAGGCCCTCCTGTCCTGGGGATTCCTGGAGCGAGGATGTAAGTCAGGGATTCCTGCTCTGCACGCACCAGGCACACCTCCCTGACAGCAAGCCCATTTTACAAGTAAGAAAACTGAGGCTGAGGGAGCACAAGGACACTTGCTAAAGACCCTCAGTCTCCTGGAAAGCATCCTTGACCCTGGCCTGCCACTCCCAGCACAGAGTTCTTTCCCTTCCTCTGCCATGAGGCGCAGAGCCAAGGACGTGACGTCCGCCGCCTCCTGCCCCTAATCCCTGTCCACCCCCCGCCGGCTGGTTGTGCTCTATCCTTGAAACTGGAACTCAAAAGAAACTGTCTTAAGCTCTCCAATCCTCCATGCCTGCATCTATCAAATGGGTTTGCCACAGCCAGCCTCGAGTGGATGCTGTACGGACTGGTCCAGGGGCTGCTCCACGGTTGCTCCCAGAAGCAGCATTGTCTCCTGCAGGGAGGCTGCTCTGAGCCAGCTCAGGGGAGGGATCCCTCATACTCCCACTGCCCTTTCTCAGTGGCCTGGTCCTGTGGAAGGAGGTTGTCTGACATTTAAGTCCCAGATGCCCCATCTTGTTTAACAAGATCTAGGGATTAAGGGAAGAGACTCGAGTTATGCATAGACCATCCAGGTTGGAGACGAACCTCTGCAATCCTCTAACAGGATCAGTGACTGGCTGACTTAAGTTTCCCAAGCTCAAAGCATTAGGCATTTCCCCAGGGCATCCGACAGCAGTGGAGGGCTCCAGAGGCTGCTCGGACCCCCTGGACACCTTGAGAAGGTGCAAGATGGTACAGATGGGAGGGCAGGAGCCCCTCAGAGTGCCTGCGAGGCCCATGCGCTGTGTCTGGCCTACAGATAATCAGAGCCGCGCTTCCCATCTTTGTCATCCTTCCTGGGAGGCACTTGTGCCCCCAGGGTCACCCTCGGAGTCCCCTGAGGCTGTGGCTCCTGCCAGGAGGAGCCCCCAGGCAGACAGGAGGCTGCGGTGGAGGAGATGGACAAAGGGTGATGATCACAAAGGGAGGCGGTGCCCCCAGGGGTAGGAGATGAGGGGACAGGCAGCTGGGGAACCAGAAGAGAGGACCGCCGGAGGGCGAGTCTCTACAAACAGCTCCCAGACTCAGGTTTTTTGAAAAGTGGGATGTGGGTCAAAATAAAATAAAAATGAAAAAGTGATCGAGTCTTGGCCACCTTTTTCTGTGTGTGCAGGGAGGCAGTGGAGACACGGATCTTGTACCAATAATAATAACAACCATATTCCCCCACTCTGGGCTCCGTGCAAACCCTTAACTGTCCTTCCCTCATCAAATCCTTCCTGGAACATCTCTGCCTGGAAGTGATTATCCTCCTAATACAGGGGAGGAAATGGAGGCAGGACGTTTCACAAAAATGAAAGTTATTATTTGAGACCTTTTCTAAAATCTGCCTTTATTATTAAAAAATCGGAGGAGAGGAATCAATCTTTGTCAATACATGTATTGAGTACTAATGTCACTAGGGGTAAAGAATCCACCTGCCAATGCAGGGGACATAAGAGATGTGGATTCGATACCTAGGTTGCAAAGATCTGCTTGAGGAGGGCATGGCAACCCACTCCAATATTCTTGCCTGGAGAATCCCGTGGATGGAGGAGCCTGGAGGGCTGCAGTCATAGGGTCACATAGAGTTGGACACGACTGGGTGACAGCATGCACACGTGCAGGCCCTATGCTTATGTGATTTCATTTTATTCTCAAAACAACCCAGTAGATGGCAAAACTGGCCAAATTCTCCCCTTTCCGCCAATTTCTCCATCCTTGATTTGGCCATGAGACTTCATTAAAAAAAAAAAAATGTATGTATTCGTCTGCACTTACTTTTTCCATTTAATATAGTATTTTCCTATGTTTTAGCTGCACTGTACAGCTTCTGGGATTTTAATTCCCCAACTAGGGATTGAACCTGGCCACCACAACGAAAACACTGAATCTTAACCACTGAACAGCCAGGGAACCCCTGATACTTGCTTTTAATAGCTTGGACACTGGGCTTACTCTCTTGTTCTTAAAAACCCTGAGATTTCCACCATGGGCACAAGCCTGGGCTAGCCTCCTGGACACGTGGGAGACATGTGGTCTGCTTATCCGTTCCCCCAGTCCACAGTCGGCCAAACATAAGAGCCACTGACCACAGACACCCTGGCGAGCAAGCCCAGCCAAGACCAGCAGACCCCCTGGCTGAACCCAGCCCAAAGTGATGTGAATGAAAATTGTTGCCTGCCATGTCAGTAAACAAAGGACGTTGCCACCCTCAAGCCGTCACATTGCGGCGCTCTGGACAGTGAGCCCTGAGGGAATGCAGGATGGAGGCAGGATGCTCCTGCACCTAGCAGTCAGCCCCTGCAACCACCCACAGCTGTGCGCATAGAGGGGACCCAGGGCAGGACACAGGATAGTGGCCCAGACAGCTGGGGCACCTACCAGAGGAACAACAGTGAGCCCGGCTCTAAAGCGCTAAAGGCCGTAACTTGAGATACCTAATGTTCCTTCATTAGCAGTGATCTTTTGATGTTGTGACTGCCTCTTTTTCGTTGCTAAACCTCCTATACCTCCTGAACTCCCCGCCTTGCCTCTTGGGAGCGGTTCCTCAGGGTTACCTGAGATGCTGTGTCCTGGGCTTACGTCCTCGATTTGTCCATTGAATAAAACGTAACAGGCTTCTCGGATGGCTCAGTGGTAAAGAAGCCACCTGCCGATTCAAGAGGTGCAGGAGATGCAGGTCTGATCGCTGGGTTGGAAGGATCCCCTGGAGTGGGAAATGGCGACCCAGTCTAGTTTTTTTCCTGGGAAATTCCATGGACAGAAGCGTCAAGCAGAATGCAGTCTGTGGGGCGGGAAGAACCAGACACAGCTGAGCACAGCTTAGCCTCAGTTTTCAGGCTTTGCTTTTCTTTCTTTCTTTTCTTTTTTTTAGACAACAAGGCCAATTCACTGATGTGTGAGCAACACAGCAGCTATGGGTGTAAGCCACTACATACCGGAGTGGTTTGGAACTCAGCAATATACAAGCAATGCAGTGCTGCTGTGAGATACACACTATGATGACTATTCTATAGCAAAGGAAGCTAAAGTTCAAGAAAATGACCCAACTTTCCCATGAGGACTTAAAAAAAATGTGCAATGTGAGAGTTGCCAGTTAAGTTTTATTAGGGGCAAAATGGGGACTTTAGCGTGGGAGACAGCACTTCAGATAGCTCTGAGAAACTGCTCCAAGGAGGTGGGGAGAGGAGCTAGAACATATTTAGGAGTTTTGCCACAAAGGGCAGGTAGTTGGGAACAACAAAATATTGTTAAAGAAGCCAGATATCTCAAGTTAAAATTAGCACTTTCCCAACAAAGGTCCATATAGTCAAAGCTATGGTTTTTCCAGCAGTCGTGTATGGATGTGAGAGTTGGACTACAAAGAAAGCTGAGTGCCAAAGAACTGATGCTTTTGAACTGTGGTGTTGGAGAAGACTCTTGAGAGTCCCTTGGACTGCAAGGAGATCCAACCAGTCCATCCTAAAGGAAATAAGTCCTGAATATTCATTGGAAGGACTGATGCTAAAGCTGAAACTCCCATCCTTTGGCCTCCTGATGGGAAGAACTGACTCATTGGAAAAGACCCTGATGCTGGGAAAGATTGAAGGCGGGGGGAGAAGGGGACAAGAGAGGATGAGATGGTTGGATGGCATCACCAATGGGATAGTCATGAGTTCGAGTAGGCTCTGGGAAATGGTGATGGATAGGGAGGCCTGGGGTGCCACAGTCCATGGGGTTGCAAAGAGTCGGACATGACTGAGCAACTGACCTGAACTATGTATGAGATGATGCAAGATTCTGGCTCAGTGGAATCGTTCCTCGGACACACACCTCGGCTGTCTGCAGCCGGCACCCTGTGCTCTCACAGCCTGCGTCTCCCC